TAAAGAATAAATTTTAAAATAACGTTTTATGTCTAATTTAGAGAAAATCTAAGACGTTTTAGAACATAATCTTTGTCATTAACTGTACCAAAAATTTATTAACAAATCTGAATAGAGCCAAATATTACAAAAAATCTTCGTCTTGGTAAACAGTTGTTACTATTATTAAATTATTTTTGCAAATTTGAGAATTAGAAAAAATATAGTTTTCTTTCACAACATTATACTTTATTGTCATCACTTGTACAGAAATGAATATTTTTTGCTTCAAATTTGTTTTTATTTATTTTTACTTAAAAAATTTAAATAATAAAAGAAAACAATTAAATAAAGTTTAAATTTTATTAAATTCGCCGGTTACCGTGTTGCAAATTGAATAAAACAATTGAAATTGTCACTTATCTCGCCATATAAGACAATTCTTTTCCAAGCCCCTGTGAAAAAAAGTGCTTTTCTTTCCTCACGCATAAGTTATAAAAAAATTTCTTGTCGCGTGTTGGCGCCGCCACTTTCCTCCCTCCTTGTACCACCGGTAAATAGTTAAAGTTTGGTCGTATTTCAGCCACAGATGCATTTGACATTTGGAAAATTTAATACGACGCCCGGCTTTAAGAAACGAAATAGCAATGGCTTATTCCATTTAGTCCCCATTTTGCGTGTTTCAAAACTGACAAAGGTTGCGCTTACAAAATAACACGTGAATAGAATATTAAGAGACGTCGAGGGTGGAATTTCGAAGGGAGTTCACCCTCGTCGCAAAGATGGCGAAAATTTTAATTAATTTTAGAATTTTTTCGTCGTCGATTTTCTTGGATCGGAATTCCTGCGGTTCCCCGGTATTAAAATTAATTATTTAATAATAAGATTAGGTATAAGAGGCGAAAATTTAATCAATTTGTGTGTATTAAAGGGAGTCTTGAGGAAATCGGGTGGAATAAGAGACTCACCTGGGATCTAGTGATGGGTCTTCGCCACGATGTTTTCACTACTCGAATTCGAATCGGACTGAATAAAATCGACGAATTGCAACCGAAATGTAGATTAGGGCCAGAACTTGAAAATCAAGTTGGCTGGACATTGCAATTGTGTCTTGATTTTTTCAAAGGGTAAGGGCGAGGGTCACTAACTGACCCTTCCTTGGACTGGTTTACCAACAGGTTTTCAGTGACCAAAATCTAGTCATTTTGAGAATGAAATGAAAAGAAAAAAAAATAAGGGTGAGTTATGTAAATCGGTTCGAAACTCGCTCTCTCTAAAATAGTTTAAATTTCGGTTGTTGTCGTTGGTAGACGTGAGTGGTAGTAGTGTTTCATTTATATTATATAACAGTGCGATATTAGATATGCAAATGAAGCTTCGAGGCGCTCTCCTAGCGGCAACATACTCAACTAATTGGCAACTTCTTAATGTCGTTTATACTTACTTTGCCAGGCTAGGCACGTCTCTTTGATAAATTTACTTCACTATATTCTAATACAATTCTGTGAAGACATTGTGTACTGGGGCGCGAAAGACGAGGCTGTCTGTTTTACATCCGTCCTGCAATCAACTTCTAATTAGGCGCGGGAGATTCGACTCACACCCAAAATAGCACATCTCTGTTACAACTTTCGCAAATTCGCAAAAAAAAATTGTTAAATCGTACAAGTTTCACAGGCACTCATTTCTAGGCCATGCTGTATTTTAGAAAAATTAAGTTGACCTGCAACTTTTTTAATAATTGTGATAAATCAAATAAAAAACGATGAAACACTGTTGTTAATAAATAATATTAATAATGATGATAACTGAAAGAGTATTTACAAATTTTTAAACAAATTTCAATTTTTTTAAGTAAGAATTTTTTTTTGTTAAATCGTACAAGTTTCACAGGCACTCATTTCTGGAGCATGTTGCAAAAACTAAGTTGACTTGTAATTTTTTTAATAATTATGATAAATCAAAAAAATAAAAAACAATAAAACACTAAATAGTAATAATGATAAGTAAAAGACTTATTACAAATTTTTAAACTAATTTCAATTTTTTCAGGTAATAATAAGAATAATAAACTTTATTTTCCATTATAATGAAATATATTAAATAGGAATTGTCATACAAGAAAAGAAACATGCA